ACTGGAATCATAATGGTTTGCATTCTGAGGCATGGAGGTGTGAGAACCAGAGAATGACACCTTGTAGTATTTTGTAGTATTATGGAAATAACCTAAAAGCTTTTGACTCCCACTGTGTACCTGGATTTAGAAGTCTCTGCAAGAGAAAAAGTGAACCATAATTACACTCATCTTCTTCTAAAACTGCACACTTGGCTCAAATCATGCAGGAACATGTCACGTATAACACTCCATTATGAAACAAGTTGCCCAAGATGCCACACATATTCTGGCATATACCTGTGTTATAAGGATCCATAGCAAAACCTTTCGGGATCACCCATGACAAAGGCAATCCCTTTAGTGTTACCGAATCTAATTGCTTATGTAGTAATCTTCTCAGTCACAAAGTACATATACACTGCTCAAAAAATGAAAGGAACATCTCTGAAAACATATCAGATCTCAACGGGGAAAAATATAATGCTGGATATCTATACTTATATGGACTGGGTACTGTGTTAGGAACGTAAGCCTGCCCCATCATTTGATGGAAATGAAAATTATCAACCTACAGAGGACTGAATTCAAAGACACCCTGAAAATCATAGTAAAAAATTTATGCAGCAGGCTAGTCCATTTTGCTGAAATTTCATTGCAGCAACTCAAAATGGTAGTTTGTATGGCCCCCGCGTGCTTGTATGCATGCCTGACAACGTCGGGGCATGCTCCTAATGAGATAACGGATGGTGTCCTGGGGTATCTCTTCCCAGATCTGGACCAGGGCATCACTGAGCTCCTGGACAGTCTGAGGTGCAGCCTGGTGGCGTTGGATGGACCGAAACATAATATCCCAGAGGCGTTCTATTGGCTTTAGGTCAGACGAGCGTGGGGGCCATTCAATGGTATCAATTCCTTCGTCCTCCAGAAAATGCCTGCATACTCTCGCCACATGATGTAGGGCATTGTCGTGCACCAGGAGGAACCCAGGACCCACTGCACCAGCGTAGGGTCTGACAATGGGTCCAAGGATTTCATACCAATACCTAATGGCAGTCAGGGTGCCATTGTCTAGCCTGTAGAGGTCTGTGCGTTCCTCCATGGATATGACTCTCCAGACCATCACTGACCCACCACCAAAATGGTCATGTTGATTGATGTTACAGGCAGCATAACATTTGCCATGGCTTCTCCAGACCCTTTAATGTCTGTCACATGTGCTCAGGGTGAACCTGTTCTTATCTGTGAAAAGCACAGGGCACAAGTGGCGGACCTGACAATTCTGGTGTTCAAAGGCAAATGCCAATTGAGCTCTATGATGCTGGGCAGTGAGGAGAAGGCCATCTAGAGGACGTCAAGCCCTCAGGCCACCCTCATGATATTTGTTTCTGATTGTTTGGTCAGAGACATTCACACCAGTGGCATGCTGGAGGTCACTTTGTAGGGCTGTGGCAGTGCTCATCCTGTTCCTCCTTGCACAAAGGAGCAGATACCGGTCCTGCTGATGGCTTAAGGACCTTCTACGGCCCTGTCCAGCTCTCCTAGAGTAACTGCCTGTCTCCTGGCATCTCCTCCATGTTCTTGAGACTGTGCTGGGAGAGACAGCAAAACGTCTGGCAATGGCACGTATTGCTGTGCCATCCTGGAGGAGTTGGACTGCCTGTGCAACCTCTGTAGGGTCCAGGTATCGTCTCATGCTACCAGTAGTGACATTGACCCTAGCCAAATGCAAAACTAGTGAAAAACAGAACAGATGTGAAAAAATGTCAGTGACCTCCACTTGTAAAACCATTCCTTTTTTGGGAGTCGTCTCATTGTTGCCCATCTAGTGCACCTGTTGTTAATTTCATTAACACCAAAGCAGCTGAAACTGATTAACAACCCCCTCTGCTACTTAACTGACCAGATCAATATCCCAGGAGATTAATTGACTTTATGCTATTTCTGATTAAAAAGTGTTAATTACTTTTTTTGACCAGTGTATATTACATTCAATTTAGCTAATGCTATTGCCAACTGAAAAAATTATTATGCAGCAAGATAGTACTGGGAATCCAATGATGCTGCGTCTTATTGCAGTTGCATGGTTTGCTATAACTTTAAGTATAATGAATCCTACCTGCTTTGTAATATCATATACAATAACAGCAGCTGCCGAGCCTCGGTAGTACATTGGTGCCAGTGAATGGAACTGTAAAGACATCAGATGTCATTGAGTTACAGAATACATAATCAATCATTTTAGTAAGAAAACACGCTATTCACATTTACTGTAATAATAGCAGACCTCTGCCATCTTTAATTTCTTTGCAATATCATAGATCTGCCAACATACCTGGACCTGCTGTGTTTTTATGCTCTGAACACATGGGCTTCAGCTTGTACAGAACAGTGTGTGCAAGTAGTTAAAAAGCATTGGTAAGACTTTCAGCCAACATCAAGCAACCTTCTTGAAGCTTGTGGGCTTGTGCACCCCACCAGCACTTTTACACTGGGGCCAATGATATACGCTGTGATTGGTGTGGTGCTAGGGTTGCCACCTCATCCCTTTAAACCCAAACACATATTAATTACACAGGGTTTTTAGCTGATTAAGGTGGCAAATAAACTCACTTAGAACCTTATCTGCATTAAATTAGCCTCAAAACCTGTGTCATTAATATGTGTTCGGGTTTAAAGGGATGAGGTGGCAACCCTATGTGGTGTCAGTGCATTGTAATGACAGTTTGCACTTTCAGTGATCTGAGTGTGAGTGGATTACCCGGTATTATTTTCATGACAGGTGCAGATTTAGAAATATTGAAAATGCCTTTTGAAATGACATGAACATGATAAAGTGATAGCAAAGTCTTGTTTGTTTATTTATACCTACAAGTAAGCCTATAATAATCCTTACCTGTAGGCACAGTAAAAATCTGCTAAACATGCACCGTTTAGGAGCTATTTACTTTAGCAGCGCTGGTGATGTCACCGGCGCAAGCTCACTGCACTCTCAATGGACGGTGTGCTGTCCATTGAGAGAGCTGTGCCATGGCCAAGACCCTGTGCGCATGTCATCATGGCTCGGCAAGTCAAACAGCCACATCCTGCGAACCTGGTTGGAAGTCCGAGTGAAGATGGAACCGCTCTGCTGGAGGGCTTCGTTTTCAGGTACGTTTTTTATAATGTGCTAGTATGCGAAGCATACTAGTACATTATGCTCTTAAGTTGCAGGGGGAAGATTATTTTGTTTTATTTTTTGCAGTTTACTACCGCTTTAAAGATTAGATGAGTGTTTGAAGTGATTTGAGTGCTGTCCCTTAGCTAGCAGCTTATACAAGCGCTTCAGCAATACTTGTTAAAAACCTGCTGAAACTTGTTAGCCAGCTTAGCTGATTCACACATATGCTGTGCGGTGTGGATGAAGCTCAGATTTCACAGCTAATTGATAGAGTAGTTGTTCACAGGTTCAGGTCAGGTTTACATCAGGTTCAGGACAGGATTAGCTCAGGATCTTATGTTGTTCACACACATACCGTTTAGAAACAGCTCCCATAGAAGTCAATAGCCTGTCATCTACACCTGATCCGGGCCGCACTACTCAGAAAACGGAAAGCATTCTTTTAAAAACCACACTAAATCTGCACTGAATTTGCACCACCAGTGCACTGGACATATGTGAACAGGCACCATAGGAAGTAATGTTTTTTCACAATGTTTTTTCACATTCAAACTGCATCCAATCTGCATATATGTGAATGGGCAAAGTTACACCCAGCCAGTGCAGTAATATCTGTGTTTAAAGGATAAGTTTACCTTTCATAACATGTTACATTTTACACCCATATTCAGGGTATAACATGTAACATGTTACTGTCCGACTGGCCCCCACACCCCCTGATCCCAGCTAGCTGTCACAATTTGCGGGGCTCCACCTCTGTCACTCATTCACAGTATTCTATGATTGGGAAAACTACAAGTTCCAACAGCCTTTACAGCTATCAGCTTGTAGTTTTCAATGAACTACCACGGTGCTCCACAGCTCACTGAGTATCCTGTCACTAAGTATCTTCTTGTCTGTACGGGATGTACGACAAGCAGATATACTGACAGGTCAGGGGGAAACCTGCATGGCGCCAGCGATCTGTTGATCGCTAGTGCAATGTTTTAGAGGCTTAAGAAACAAAAAATAATAAATGCAGGTTTTTTTTCCTGAAAAAAAATGTGCATTTATTATTTTTTATTAAAATGTGAACTTATCCTTTAAGATCCCCAAACCAGAGATAAATTTTGTTTTAACCCTTTCACTGCCATGCTATGCTTTTTGGTTTGTGCCTTAGGTAGCCAGGCCAATTTAGCTGTTTTTCATGGGTACATTACAGCCTTGAACATTTGTGATTAAAAAAAAAACACACACATACATACAAACCATTATTTTCAGAAAGCCCATGACCTGTACAATTAGAAGATATGACTTTGTATGTTCCATGAAAGTTGTGCAAATGTTCATTAAAGGATACAGTAAGGTCAGTCGTCTGCCGTTCCTCCCATATGGGCAGGCAGTTACTGAATGTCAGTAAAAATCCATGAACTACAAAAGCGCTTACCAGTACCCTCACAGTTCATTGAGAACTACAAGCCATCAGCTGCAATGGCTGATGGTACTTGTAGTCCAATTCATTCACAGGAAACTGAATGACACCGCTTTGTGGGAAGAGCCCCCCATGGCCACATTGTTTTTAATTTGTGAGAGCGAATACGGGGAGAAAATCCCCCACCCGCTGTCACAAAGCAGGAAGCGCTGACGGCAGGAGGTGGCTTCAAAGGAGCTTGTTACATGTTACACCCATATAAGGTGAATGTAGCCTTTAAGTATAATTTTAATAAAAGGGCCACTAAAAATAATATAGTAACAGTGTAATAAAAGGGTTTAATAGTACAATCATGCAAAGTTGCTAAATTACTTGCAACAATTAAATGCTGCAAACAAGCATGCAATGAAGGCCCGCACAGCTATTTAGTAATTCAAACAATGTCAATGCATTAGTTGGAAATACTTGTTAAAAAACGGTCCACACTCTGAAAAAAAAATGCCTATAAATTAATACAGAATTATAGCAGCATCCAATGACTCAATAAACATAAAGCCGTTGACATGAATGCTGGCAATGCGAATATCAGTAATTGTTTGTGTCACTTTGATACCGCCACTTGAAGCCATGAAAGTATTCTGCTTGGTGGATTGGGCCATCAGTGCTTCACATGAAAGTAATTATGTTGCTTTAAAGTCTGGAAATGTTAGGAGGCATAATTTCTAGATAACCAAGGCACAAAACTGTTCATGATTAATATCATAGGCAAAAATGAACCACACATGTCACTAACTGGGCAGTCTCCTGCAACTTTACAAGATCTTCCATAGTTATTAAGTCCATGGGAACAATTTTGCCTTATAATTTGATCTTTTTATAGTGTCCCTTGTATAGTGTTTCCCTAATCTATAAACTTTGTACCAGAAATTAATCATCTGATCTGGGGTATATATATATATCTATCATATGACCTCACCACTGAGATATGACGAGGATTCATGTACAAGTTATTTCTTTGCTTATGACTCCTTTGTTAGTCAGTTATGTCGTTTTTACATTTACATTGGAACTTCCTTACCCTATTCAACATTTGTAAATACAGCACATGCATAACCATCATGCAAGCATATGTGTATATATAAGATAATGCAGGGATTATCAGTTAGCACTTTAGACAGAAGTAAAAGCATGTGTGTATAGATGTATTAAAACATGACTAAAACACATATACACAGCAAATGCAACATTATAAAGAAGCAGTACTCACAGGGGTTTGAAGCGTATCTTAAAGCATTGTTAAACCCAAAATCAAAAATGTGATTTATTGCAGTTTACTAACCATTAGATGTGGTGGCTTCATTAGTTTTCTTTTTTTAGGCTTTTTTCCCTCTGTTTTCGTCTGGTGATTTGGCCAGTAACATACAGGGCCATGGAGAAGGGGGCACCACCAGTCCTCCTGTATGGGGCCCAGGCCAGCAGGGGGTTCCAGGCAGCTGGGTGAATCAGATTTGTTGACAGGGAGGGTGATCAACATGGCGGGGGGGGGCAATTACTTTGACCAATCCCCTGTATGGGTCTCTGCAGCAGCTGAAAGCTGGCTTCTTCTCCTCTCCCTCCTGCTGGCTTTCATCTGTTGCAGAGAAAGCCATACATGGGATTTATTCCAGTAATTCACCACCCCTGTCGCACCCATCACCCACCCTGTGCACCATATGTTTCCTTTAGCTGCCCAGGCCCCCTGTGTGCCCCCACCCTTGTAGTTTTTCCGGCTTCCCTCCTCTCCTTTCCACCGGCAACTGCAGTCACGCATAAGGTTCCTTCAGGATGGAGACTGAGGGAAGGTTCCGGTTAATATGTCAAATTTACCAGCCCCTTACTTTCCTGAATGAACACAATGTGGGATTGGTACTGATCACTTATTTTGTTCATTCATAACTGAAGCATAGTAAACTGTTTTTTTGTTTTGAGGGGGCCCTGTCAGGTTGGCTGTATGGGTCCCCATGGTTTCTAACAGTAGCCTTGGTAACACACCTCCTGTATTAGAGTGCCTACACTTTGGACAAAGAAGCACAGGGGCTCCTTTGGACAGCAGCATTGTCAGTCTGGGGCAGGGGAGAGTTAAATTTAGATACACTAACAAATTGAAGCCAAACTCCAGCTAAAACTTTATAAGCAGTTACAACCAACAGTTTTCTTTTCTTTTGGGATAAAGGTTTTACATAATTAGCGGATCATTGTAAGCACCCCTGTTAGTGGTAAATGGTTTGTCTCATCCCTCTAATTGCTACATCTGCAGGACAGCTTGTTTTTTAAGAAAAATAACAAACTTACTGCCCAGTTTACCAGATGAAAATAGAACAAAGAAAAAAGCAAAGCAATGTAGCCATCACATCTAAGAGTTGGTAAGCTGCAATATATTAAATGTTTGTTTTTGGGTTTAATACTGCTTTAAAGCCTACCTATAGGAAACATTGAATAAAATATATCTGTTCCCACATTTTATTTCAATTATTTCTAACCTACACACACAATTACCTCTTTGTATTTGTGAGACATATTTACGATGCCCTGTGAGTAGGCACTACTGTGTCACAGATTACACAAAGCCCTCCTTCCTAACTACATAGGTACTGAGAGGAGGAACTTCTGAAGGTGGAGTCAGTACAGGATTCACTTGCAGACAGGAAGGTACCATGGGATATGTAGTCCCTGGACATAAACAGCAGAGGACAGGCTGCAACGCATACAGGGAAACTAGGAAGCTGTAGAAAGAGATGGCCAGCAGACAGACAGCACTCACAACGTAAAAGGATATTTTTTTTCAAGTAAGCTTTTATTGGACTGTTAAAATAATTTTAAAACTGTTTGTATTGTTATTACAATGCTGATATTACAAAATGAAAGTGTGTGCTGTGACCATAGATATTCTTTAAAGCCCAAACTCTATGAAGATGAAAAAATCTATCCATACAGTGGGACCTCCCCTCACTATGCAAAGATTAAATGCTTGTTTAGTCTAGGTGTGGAGGATTAAGGAGAAAACACTTACCTTCCTATTCATGCCAACAGCCTCCTAAACATACAATGCAGGGATAATGTCCCTGTATGGTATGTGATGATGCCAAGGCTCCGCCCCATAGAGAGGAGCTTCAGAGAGAGAAGAGTAGTGGCGTTGGCTGAAGAAAGGAACCAGGTATATAACATGTCCTGCAATCCCCTATATATTAGGAGCATTTAACACTTGCATTGTCGGGGGAGGGGGTCCTCTGCAAGGGTGGAATTTTAGTTTTAGGTCTCATGTACAATGCAGCTGATAAACTCACGTTTAGGGGCTGTTCAGCATTTTTTTTCAGCAGCCCCTGAACTCACCCTAATGTTTTCCTATGTGTCCATCTTTCCATCGTCGTTTACAGGCAGTTGAGTTTACAGTCATTATTTTGAATGCAGAAAACTTGCATTCAGCAGTAGATTTTATCAGTGTTTCAAACGCAAAATGCAGCTAAACGCGTTTATAGGCGTTTGACATTTTTTTTTTAACTCTTCCATTTCCAAATGCTGTCCAGAGCCTTTTTTCGTCATGAAAAATGCATGCAAATCATTTTTCCGATACTCAAATGGACCTGGTACACCATACTTTGAGGTTTTGCATAAATATGTTAGACACTGCTGCAATAATTTCTGCATAGAAATGAGCTAAAACACATCCAAACACCACAAAAAAAGAAGACAGCTAACCTGAACACATACTGTTCTTGCTGCTTCTGCTCTCTCTATTTCTCTCAAAATGTCTGAAATAGTTCATTTTTACTGTTTTTCAGTGCATTCTGGGCATTTTGGAAGGTCTCCTGAGGTTATCTTTACAAAACACTTCTAAATGCAAATGCTCATAAACGTGGTATGCAAACGTTGCTAAACTGACGTTTTTTAACCTACGTTTTCCAGCAATCAGTTTTCATCGTTCAGACGTTTCCCGTGTACATGGGGCCTTAAAGTTTGTCTAAAGCTGGCCATAGACAGATTGAAGTTCAGCTGGTTCATTTCTGTCAAAGAAAAGGGGCATGGTGGAAAACTTTTGCCAACCAGTGGCTGGAGCTGCTGGTCAGTGTATTCTGACAGCTGGGAGTCCCCATGTCAGGATACAATGTCCCAACAAGAGGGATTCCTTCACCCACCTTATTTGTATGGATGAAGGAAGCATTAACATTGTCAGGGTCCGGGTCTGAACTTGTGCTTTCTGCTATTTCAGACGAGGTCTCTTTTTGCTGAGCCACCTGTAATGCTAAACAGATCCCTGGGCAGTCCCATCAGATCTTGTCTTGTATCTTGTTTCTCGTGAACCTTGAACGTTTTGCTCCTGCTATGAACCTAAAGACCATGCTTTTGTGCTTCTTGTTTGCCAGATTATTGTGTTCTCTCCTTCCAATATCTCACTCTTGACACTTCTGCTGCTGTCCATATCTTCGTTATTGCTCATTACCAACCTTTGGTTTGTTCCTCAACTGTGCTTCCATCTGATCCCCTTCATCTACTATTTGGTACTGACCCATGGCTTGTTCATTGACTACATGCCTGCCTGTTCCTTGTCTGCTTCATCCACTGCCTGCCTCCCGCTTGCTCTGTCCCTGCTGGGACAATCTTGAGGACCGCAACCTGGCATTGGCACACAGTGAAACCATCAGGAGCTCTGGTGAAGGCTGGCTGGTGTTTAGACCCTGCACCTTGGGTGAGCCTGCGTCATCTACTATCAGATCTGTTTGTGTATTCACCCAGATGAATACTTGTCAATCTCTCAGCTGCTACAGCCACTGACCTCTGAGCCTGACTCCAGATCGTGCCAGACATTTTTTACCTAAAAGCATTCGCTGCAAGGTAAAAAATATCCCAGGAGCAGTATCAGCCCCTCATCCGCCAAATACTTACCACATTAAATCCAGTGCTGTGCCGGTCTGTCGCGGCTCTCTCCCCTCTCCCCACTCTCATGGACTTCACTGAGGCAGCGGGAGCCACTGGCTCCTCCTGCTGTCTAGCAAATCCTGAGAGCAGAGAGTCGGAGGCGGGACACATCCACACTGGGTGACTCTATAGATGCACACAGCCTGGCTCTGAAGCAAGCTCATACGTCTACCCCCATAGTAGCCCTTGCTATAGGGGCAGACCCACAAGAGGAGGCAGAGAGTGCCAAACGACCAAACACGAACATATTTCATTTATACTCACTCGTTCCTGACCAGCAGTATCCCATATCAGAAATTTATGCAGCTCATTCCCACAAGGTACAGTCTTTGTCATAAAAGATGCCCTTAAAAAAAAAAAAAGAAGTTTTACTTTGTAGGTATCACAGACAAAACTACTGATGCTCATATGAAGTGGCAGTTTATAGATTAAAATAAGGTATATCACAAATTTTATATTATTTACAGAGTCCCTGGACCTTTTTAGATTTTGAGCCTCTTGATCTAATAACTGTCTTTTTTCAGGACATATAGGGCTTTAAATCTGTAGCAGATGTGGATACATACTATATACAGTGCTCAGCAAAAATTAGTACACCCCTTTTTGAAAAATAGGATTTTAATCAGTATCTCAATAAACACAAGAATAATTTCCAAAATTTTGACAAAACTGAGCTTTATAGAAAACTTGTTTAGCTCATTACATGAAAGTAAAGTTAATATTATAACTTAGATAACAATATGTTTAATTTCACTCATATTAGTTGATGCAAATATGAATGCACCCCACAATAAAAACTACTCCATCTAGTATTTTGTATGACCTCCATGATTTGTAAGGACGGCACCAAGTCTTCTAGGCATTGAATGAACAAGTTGGCGACATATTGCAACATCTATCTTTTTCCATTCTTCAAGAACGACCTCTTTTAGAGCCTGAATGCTGGATGGAGTGTGATGCTCAACTACCTCTTGAGAATTCCCCATATATGTTTGATTTGGTTCAGATCAGGAGACATACTAGGCCATTGAATCACTTTCATCCTGTTCTTCTTCAGAAATGCAACTGTGGCCTTAGATATGTATTTTAGATCATTGTCATGCTGGAAAAGCCAAGGGCGCGGAGCAATGGTAGCATCTTCTCTTTCAATATAGAGCAGTACATCTGTGAATTCATGATACCATCAATGAAATGCAGTTCCCCGACACCAGCAGCACTCATGCAGCCTCACAGAAGGACACTACCACCACCATGTTTCACTGTAGGCACCATTAATTTTTCTTTGTACTCCTTACCTTTGGGACACCATACAATTTTGAAGCCATCAGTTCCAAAAACATTTATCTTGGTCTCATCACTCCAGAGTACAGAGTCCCAGTAGTCTTCTTCTTTTTCAGCATGGGCCCTGGCAAATTCTAGGTGGCCTTTTTTTGTGCATGGGCTTCCTTTGTGGATGACACTCATGCATGCCACTCCTCTGCAGTGTACACCATATTGTGTCATGAGAAAACAATCACCCACATTTGGCTTTCTACTTCTTCAGCTAACTGCAGTGATCTTGCATGGCGATTTTCTTCAACCCTTCTAATCAGAAGACGCTCCTGTCTAGATGTTAACTTCCGTGAAAGGCCTGGACATCTCTTTGAGATGTTTGCAGTTCCATCTTTGTTAAATGTTTGTATCACTTTTGCTACAGTATTCTGACTGATAAGTAAAGCTTTGCTGATCTTCTTGTAGCCTTCACATTTCTCTTCCATGTGGTCCCATTGCTGACAGCATGAAATGGGAAGGGGTTTTCTTTGTTAAGTAATGCCCTTTTATAATTAACTGTCTGCTGGACACCTGTCTAATGAATAATTAGACTCACCTGTAGTTGAATTCTTGGTAATTAGGATTTTGTTATCTAAAATTTAGCTTTGCTCCTAAGACTTTCATTGAGATGTATTCATTTTTGCAACATGGTCTTGAAAGAATTTGTTAGGAAAAATTACTTGTTTGTGTGCTAATTAGCAAATCTTGTTTGCAATCAATAGCCCACATTTGTGGGAGTATTTTGTAGTATAGTGTCCCATAGAAAATGTTGATTCTGAAAGGAAAGGAAAGGTTTTCTGACAAATCTGTTGGGGTGTACTCATTTATGCTGAGCACTTTATGCACAGCATTGTGGAGTGGCAAAGCACAAAGTTTGTCTTTCAATTTAGGAGTCATTTTTTTCCTTTCAACATTACGTTGCTATGTGTAAAGTAACAAAGTTGTGTGGTGCAATTTTCACAGATCTGGGATTACAAATAATTTAAATGACATTATGCACACTGACGTGAGTGCTGACTCTTGAACCGTTACTGCAAGTATGGACCACAGCATTTACACAAAAGTGAAATTATTTGCCCCTTCCTGCTTTTTTATTTATTTGCATATTTGTCACACTTAAATGCTTCAGATTATCAAAAAAATGTTCACTGAGTGAATACAACATGTTTTTTAAACGATGATTTCATTTATTAAGGGAAAAAAAAGCTGCCCTCTGGCCTTCCTGGCCCTATGTGAAAACGTAAATGCCCCGCATCGTTGCTAAATCATGAATAAAGTGTGGGAACCAAAGTTTGGGCACCCCACTTTCCAAAAATTTGTATTATTGTGCATAAAATCAGCCAAGGAAAGATGGAAAAAGTGAAGCTCACTAAAAGATTTCAAAAAGGCATCAAATTAGACGATTAAACATTCTTATAATTGATGTATGTCAAAAGAAGTAACAAAGCCATAGATTTTATTTCCAGTCATTTCACATTTCACAAATAAAAAAAAAGTGGTGAACCTTCCCAAAAAATGGCGTCTGGAACACCAAAAGTTTGGGCTAACCCTGCAGAGTCAAAAAAATATCTTGTACTCCTCCCTTGCAGGCAAGTATCACTTGCCTTGTAAACGCTTTTTGTAACAGCCAAGAGTCTTTCAAAAATGGCATCATTGTTTGAGGTATCTTTGCCCAATTCATTCCATTAGCCAAAATTTTTGATCTTCCCCAAGTTCTTTGAGATTTCTGGGCTGTCTGTCAAACGGGTGCATCTGTTACATCTTTTAAAAGGTCTATCCATAGATTTCAACAATTAGAGTTGATGGTCCAGGAGATTGTGAAAGTCATTACTGACCAAGGCAAAATCCCACATTCCTAGTTTAACGCTCGAAAGAGAGGGTAATCCCCTCGTGGATTTCGAGGTGTGTTTAGGATCTTATCCATTTGTAGAAGCCATCCTCCCTTTAACTTCAGCGCTTTTTCACAACCCTTTGGCGCATACAAGTTACCATAAAATTTAATAATGAAATTTTAATTGCCAAAAATCCATTTTTCCTTCCCCAAGACTCGTGAGATGTTCCTGTGCCACTGGCTGCATAACACTAATACCCCATAAAAAGCATGATTGATCCAACCCCATGCTTAAGCAGTTGGAGTGTGAGGTTGGGGGCTTTTCAGCTTCAAATTCTGGACGACTAGCCCCTTCTTAATCCACAACGTACCTTTGCTCATTCCGGCCAAAAACTGTTCAATTTTAACATCAATCGGACCCACAGAACTTGTTTGCCAGGACAATGATTCTAAACACTCAGGCAAGTTGTCTCAAAAAAACAAAATATATGTTTTGAGGTTTGCAAAGTTCAAAGACCTGATTAAATTTTTGTGGTGAACGCGTAGAAGATGTTTTCTTCTGAATGACCTCTTCCAATGAAGACCATATAAAAACAATTTGTACAAGTATCTCTTTATAGTGGAATAGTTGTACCACAACTGCAGTGTCTGCCAGATCTTTTGGAGGGATCAGTGCAGTCAAATAGGGCCGTGGGTTTTGAATGGTTTTTCTCACAATCCTGCGAGCTGTTCTATCTGATATTTTTCTTGGTCTTCCAGATCTTGCTTTAAATTCCACTGTCCTGATGACTGCCATTTCTTAATTACATTCCGAACAGAGGATATTGACATCTGAAAATGCTTTGCTATCTTCTTATAGCCTTCTCCAGCTTTGTGAGGGTCAACTATTTTCAGTTTCAGTTTTCTAGACAACTGCTTAGAAGAACCCATGGTGCTGATTGTTGGGGGGCAAGGTCAGATGAGTCTGGGCATTTAAAACCTTTGAGCTTGACATAACCTGGTCTTCCCAGATGATGATTGAGAACAATCCATGACACTGGCAGGTCTCAGCTTTGCAAAGGGCGGCAGTGCATGCTATAAATTCTGCAGGGTGCCCAAACTTTTGCAGATGCCATTTTTTTGTTTTCTGTTATTTTGAAAGTGTAAATGATGGAAATAAAATCTAACTTTTGTTGACATATTATAAGAATGTCTAATCTGTAATTTGATGCCTTTTGGAGATTTTTCCATCTTTCCTTGGCTTCTTTATGCACATTAATACAAATTTTTAGCTGGGGTGCCCAAACTTTTGATCCCCACTGTAAAATCATGAATAAACTGTGATTAACCAAATTTTTTGGAAAGCTGAGTTAAATTTCACTTTCCACACCCAGGGCTGATTATTGTCAGACCTGCTGAAATCACTTAAATAGAAGCTGTCTGACAAAGTGAAGCACACTAAAAGATTTCAAAAAAACATATCATACCACGATCTAAACAAATTCAACAACAAAGTAATTGATGTATCAGTCTGAAAAGGGTAACAAAGCCATTTCTAAGGCTTTGGGACTGCAGTGAACAATGGTGAGAGACATTATCCACAAATGGAGAAAACTTGGAATAGTGGTGAACCTTCCCAGGGAGTGGCTGGAACACCAAAATTACTCCAAGAGCCTAACGACGACTCCACGAGGTCAAAAAAGAACCAGAAGAACATCTAAAGAACTGCAGGCCTTACTTGCCTCAGTTAAGATCACTGTTCATGATTCATACAATAAGAAAGACTGGGCAAAAATGGTATCCATGGGAAAGTTCCAAAGTGAAAGCCATTGCTTACCAAAAAAAACACAAAGGCTCATCCCACATTAGCCAAAAAACATTTTGATTATCCCCAAGACTTTTGGGCAAATATTCTGTGGACTGATGAGGCAAAAGGGTGCATCCTGTTACATCTGGCATAAAAACTAAAAGAGTATTTCAACAATTAGAAAGAGACAGGGCAAAAATGGCATTCATGGGAGAGTTTCCAAGGTGAAAGTCATTACTGACCAAAAAGAACACAAAGGCTCATCCCACATCTCTAGATGTAAGCTCGAAAGAGCAGGGCCCTCGAAACCCCTCGTGTATTGTATTGTTTCTGTCTTGTCTCATGTTCCGTCCCCCTTGCTATTGTACAGCGCTGAGCAAACCCTTTGGCGCTATACAAATACTGTATAATAATAATAATAATAATATTAATTTGCCAAAAAACATTTTGATTATCCCCAAGACTTTTGGGCAAATATTCTGTGAACTGATGAGACAAAAAGTGTCTGGCATAAAACTAATACAGCATTTCATAAAAAAGAACATCATACCAACAGTCAAGCATGGTGGTGGTAGTGTGATGGTCTGGGGCTGCTTTGCAGCTTCAAGACCTGGACGACTAGCCATAATTAATTTAACCATGAATTCTGTGCCCTACCAGAAAATACTGTAGGAGAATGTTTGGCCATCAATTTGTGACCTCAAGCTCAAGCGCACTTGGGTTATGCAGCAGGACAATGATTCTAAAAACACTCCAGCAAGTCCACCTCTGAATGGCTCAAAAAAACAAAATGAAGGTTTTGAGGTGGCCTAGTCAAAGACCTGACTTAAATCCGATTGAGATGCTGTGGCATGAACTTAAACAGACTGTTCATGCTTGAAAACCCTCCAATATGCCTGCATAAAAAACAACTCTGCAAAGAAGAATGGCCCAAAATTCCTCCAAAGCGATGTGAAAGACACATTGCCAGTTATTGCAAATGCTTGATTGCAGTTGTTGCCACCAAGAGTGGCACAGCCAGTTACGTTTTCACATAGGGCCAGGCAGCTTTGGACAGTTTTTTTCCCTTCATAAATGAAATCCTCATTTAAAAAACTGCATTTTGTATTTAATCGGGTTATCTTTGTGTAATATTAAAATTTGTTTGATGATCTGAATCATTTAAGTGTGACAAATATTAAAAAAAAAAAACCCAGAAGGGGGCAAATACTTTTTCACAGGACTGTAAATTCAAGGGCATATTGTATATAGCCATATGAGATCATTTGACTGGTATGGGACCTGGAAATACAGGGGGCTCAGGGCTGTCTGGCTACTTTGTGATTTATGCAATTATCAATAGAATTAAATATTAGGGCAAAATTAATGTTTTTAAAACTAGAACCCCCTATACGGTTGCTATTAAAGCAAGTAGCATTGTACATCACTACAGTAATTGTCTTTGCAATGCGGATTAAATAGCAGAAGATTTCTAAACTGTTTTGCTGGGTTCCCATCACACACTGTCATGACCCTGATGGGAAATAAAGAGGAGGGGTGGTATTTTTATTTATTGTGATTTAACTTTTCAAGGGTTGAATCAGGCAGCCAAGGACTGGCTCAGAAAAAGACAGAAAAACAAGATTGGCCAGTTGCCCTCTGCCTATAGCAGAAATACTGCTGCAGGGCTGCACAAAGTCAAGTATTGTATATATATGTGATTTGCATTTTTGGGTAGGGGGCGAGCAGCATGTGCCACCCTACCCGCACCGCCAGCACTCGGCAATTGCTGAGTAAAACTGACAGGAAAGACCTGTGTATACAACACAGGTCTCTCTCCTGCCAGCAAGAACATGATGCTGTGTAATTCTCTGCACAGCAGCATGTTTCCCAAGTAAAACACACAGAGCACATGTTGTAAAACAGCACACAGTTACCCCCTTTGATCGCCCCAGATGTTAACCCCTTCCTGCCCCGTGTCATTAGCACAGTGTCAGAGCTTTTTTTTTTTTAGCACTGTTCACTGTATTAGTATCATTGGGATGTCAGTGGCAGTTAGTCTGTTCCCACCCAGTGTCAGAATGCCTGCTGCAGTTCCTCTATAAGTCGCTGATTGCTGCCATTACTAGTACAAAAAAAAAAATTACAGTATATATACCGCCATTTGTAGATGCTATAACTTTCAGGTAAACTAATTAATTTACATGTGTTGGGATTTTGTTTTACCAAAGACATGAAGCAGAATACATTTTGGCTTAAATTTATGACAAAAGTTTTTTCCCTGGATATATTTTATAGCAAAGTTTAAAAATATTGTTTTTTTTCAAAATCTTTTTTTGTTTTTAGCGCAAAAAATAAAAACCGCAGAGGTGATCAAATACCACTGAAAAAAAGCTCTATTTGTGGGAAAAACAGGCATAAATTTAAGTTGGGTGCAGCATTGCATGACCACACAATTGTCAGTTAAAGCAACGCAGCGTCGTATCGCAAGAAATGGCCTGGTCAGAAAGAGGGTAAATCCTCTGAAGGGCAAGTGGTTAACTCTGCCTTGCTTATAGATGGGCATAAAACATAGAGCATAAATATGGTGTTTACATCATATTCCCCACCAGGACTGGAAGCCAAGGAGCTTGTCAAGTTAGCTTCTTTGCATAGCTCTGGGTCCTTCTGGCTTTCACAGATTGCATTTGTTTCCAGCATTTCCAAATTTTGCATAGCTACCTCAAACAGCCACAATTTTGTAGTAACACTAAGAAATATAATCTTTGCACAATTTTTGTATTTGAACTGAGCAGTTTGAACAAATAAATGTATGATTTATTGCAATGGATTACTGCTCTGGTTTGTGCAGGTCAAAATTGTATGTAATAAAGTTAGCCCTACGCCTACAAAGCCAATGCAAAGCAGTTTAGCTATTGAACTTTTTACATTGCCCTTTGTCTCACTGATTATGCCTTACAGTCAATAAAACAGACACATTGTTGTGCATATTACTTACCCAATAGTAGGGCTAATATTATGGTCAAAATGGTCTTGAACAAATCGACAAACAATGCTTGACTTGCCAACCCCAGTGTCCTGCAAATGAAATCATAAAACTAATAAGTTATTGTTAACTTCTAATACTGAACATTTTATGTCTGTAAGAAAAGATACATGAAGTTACCACTAAATGAGGTTACTTTTCTATGGTAATACAGTGCCTTGAAAAAGTATTCATACCCCTTGAAATTTTCCACATTTTGTCATGTTACAACCAAAAACGTAAATATATTTTATAAAGATTTTATGTGATAGACAAACACAAAATGGCACATAATTGTGAATTGGAAGGAAAATAATAAACGTTTTTCAAAATTGTTTACAAATAAATATGTGAAAAGTGTGGCGTGCATTTGTATTCAGCCCCTCTGAGTCAATATTTTGTAGAACCACCTTTTGCTGCAATTACAGCTGCAGGTCTTTTTGGGGATGTCTTTACCAGCTTTGCACATCTAGAGAGTAACATTTTTGCCCATTCTTCTTTGCAAAATAGCTCAAGCTCTGTCAGATTGGATGGAGAGCGTCTGTGAACAGGAATTTTCAAGACTTGCCACAGATTCTCAATTAGATTTAGGTCTGGACTTTGACTTGGCCATTCTTACACATAAATATGCTTTGATCTAAACCATTCCATTGTAGCTCTGGCTGTATATTTAGGGTTGTTGTCCTGCTGGAAGGTGAACCTCCGCCTCAGTCTCAGGTCTTTTGCAGATGCTAACAGGTTTTTTTCTAAGATTGCCCTGTATTTGGCTTCATCCATCTTCCCATCAACTCTGACCAGCTTCTCTGTCCCTGCTGAAGAAAAGCATCCCCACAACATGATGCTGCCACCACCATGTTTCACGGTGGGAGTGTTCAGAGTGATGTGCAGTGTTAGTGTTCCGCCACACATAGCGTTTTGCTTTTAAGCCGAAAATTTAAATTTTGGTCTCATCTGACCAAAGCACCTTCTTCCACATGTTTGCTGTGCCCCCCACATGGCTTCTCGCAAACTACAAATCTTATGGCTTTCAACAATGGCTTTCTTGCCACTCTGCCATAAGGGCCAGATTTGTGAAGTGCACAACTAATAGTTGTCCTGTGGACAGTTTCTCCCACCTCAGCTGTGGATCTCTACAGCTCCTCCAGAGGTACAATGGGCCTCTCGGCTGCTTCTCTGATTAATGCTGTCCTTGCCCTGCATGCCAGTTTAGGGGGATGGCCATGTCTTGGTATGTTTGCAGTTGTGCCATACCCTTTCCATTTTCGGATGATGGATTGAACAGTGCTCCGTGAGATGTTCAAAGCTTGGGCTATTTTTTTATAACCTAACCCTGCTTTAAACTGTATCCCTGATCTGTCTGGTGTGTACCTTGGCCTTCATGATGCTGTTTGTTCACTAATGTTCTCTAACAAACCTCTGAGGGCTTCACAGAACAGCTGTGTTTATACTGAGAATAAATTACACACAGGCATACTCTATTTACTAATTAGGTGACTTCTGAAGGCAATTGGTTCCACTAGATTTTAGTTAGGGGTATCAGAGTAAAGGGGGCTGAATACAAATGCATGCCACACTTTTCAGATATTTATTTGTAAAAAAAATTTGAAAACCATTTTTTCATTTTTCTTCCACTACACAATTATGTGCTGCCACTGTGTTGGTCTATCACATAAAATCCTAATAAAATAAATTTCTGTTTTTGGTTGTAACATGACAAGGTGTGGAAAGTTTTCAGGGGGTATGAATACTTTTTCAAGGTACTGTAGTGTTATATGTTTCTGTTGTATATTGAACAACTCTGGAGGTCTTCAAAGATTGACCACAGGTTCATAACCGATCTGACAGCTATTTATTGGCAGATACAAGCATGGAATGTCGAATGGACACAGTAACGAATGTTAACAAATCTGTAAAAAGTTATAATGAAATTAAGGAATCGCATGTTACATGATGCAATAGAAGTTCAGGTTGGGGAAATAAATTCAAATATGGTTTGAAAAAATAAAGGTTGCCAAATTCTGCATTATTTATTCCGTTGCGTCGGAAAATATTGAATAGTTTTTATATGTGAATAACAAATCCACCGAAATATGAAAATCAAAAACTAATATATAGAATCTTTTTTAAAAAAAGCAACATTTTTCTAAAGCATCCGGACCAACAAATATACCAAACGAATGCTTCAGAGTAACGAATATGACTAAATGAAATTGAGATGCATTCAAAACCAAACTAAAATTTACGGTGTGTACATTCCTTATTTGCTCAAATTTCCAATTTACATATTAATAGAATAAATTTATGGAAGGATATAGAAATTTTTGGAATTTCTGCCCCGGCCACATCTATTATCTATGGGCAGTTTTTCAGATAGTACTTGTCACTATCTGAAAAGATATGACTATTTAGTGCCCATGATTTCTTTTCATGTTCAATTTTTATTGATTTAAAGGCAACAATTATTAGTAGTAGTCATGCCAATCTTTCTAAAATTTTTCACACCTAAGTGTTTTGCAGAAATCACTACAGTCCATTTAACATGATTTCCAATGGGACACGTTCACATCTAATTTTCGCGTTTTCACCTGGTGGGTTTTTTTGAAAAGGGTCAGGGACTTTTTTAACCACAAAACGTTGTGTTTTGGTTCAATAGACTTCAATGGAGACACTGCAGAAATGCATGTAGTGTGTTTTTGATGCATTTTGCGTTTTAATCTGCCCAGCAACAAGTTGGTAAAAAACACGTGAAACAACACATGTACAAAAACACAAAACGCTCTGCAAAAAGAACTGCAGAAACACATCAAATGCAAACTGCATAGGTGTGAACCTAGCCTTAAATCTTCCTCCAATTTTACTATATAAGTGTGCATGGTGGGTGAAGGTAAGTGAATAACCTATAGAGATTAGTTTGAGCACCAAGGGAGTATAGTGACAAATGTGCTTGAAAGTGGTTAAATTGGTGGAGAGGTCTTGTTTTTGTATGTAATGTAATGTGTGATGTAATCCAGTATTTAAATTGTGTGTATCTAAAAACTCTTTGAAACTGTGGGCAGCACAGTGGCTAAATGGTTAGTACGTCTGCTTGGCAGTTCTAGGGTCGTTGGTTTGAATCCCAACCACAGCACCACCTGCCTGGAGTTTGCATGTTCTCCCTGTGCCTGTGTGGGTTTCCTGTGGGTACTCTGGTTTCCTCCCACACTCCAAAGACATGCTGGTAGGATAATTGGATCCTGTCTACATTGACCCATGTATGAATGTGAGTTAGGGACTTTAGATTGTATGCCCCTTGAGGGTTAGGGATTGATGTGAATGTACAATATGTATATGTAAAGCGCTGTGTATATTAATAGTGCTATATAAGTACCTGTAATAAATAAAACTAGGCCATGAAAAGACTGAGTCTTTCTCCAGAAGTGTATAAACTGTAGTGAGGCCATGTGTCACCCACCAAGTAAAGGCTGCAAATGACTTAAGTCCTGGTGGGAAAAGAGGATCTCCCCCTAGGGGAAGGAAGGGAAAGTGAGCAGAAAGTATTTTACTAGAATATTTGATACTATCCCAGATTTTCTAATGTTCATCAATAATTTTCATCAAAACTAGTTGTTAGTGGTCTCATGTTAGAGGAAGTCCAGGGTAATGCTTTTAAATTAATGGAAGTACAGGAAGTAGCTTCCAGTTCCTCCCACAAAGGAACATCATTAGCTGCATATAGAGCAACAAGAGAGGTCATTTGGGCGGCTTGACAATATTTTAAGAAATTTGGAATGCCTAGGCCCCCTTGACACCTATGTATATACATAGTTCACCTGGGAATTCTCAGTCTGTGGTTTTGCCAAATGAAGGACATGACATGATTTTGAAAGGGCTAAACAGCAATAAAGGGGATCTAAATCAGGAGGGTACGAAAAAGGTAAAAAAGTTTTAGTAGGAAGCTCATTTTAATTAAGTTGATTCTCCCCATCCATGAGATGGCCTGTTATGTTCAGAGCAATATTTGGGTTTTTAGGTTGCGGATAGTTGCTATATACTTTGCCAAATATAGATCAATATAAATTTGAAGTAGGATTTGAGTTTTTCAGACATTGAGTTGGGTAGGGAGATGTTAGGGCGACTGATTTCTCTTCATTAACCCCTAGACGCCAACGTAACACAAATATGGTGCCTCACAGAACTGGGTTTTTTTCTGTGGGGCTGCATATTTGCATACCTGTCTTTGTGCTGTGCGGTGCGCTCCCAGCATAAAGACCGCGGTGTCACTGAGTGCACCGAGTCCACCGAGTCCCGTTCTAATGATTGGGACCCGGGACTCCAGATTCCGGGTCACATGATAGCTGTGATAGCCTCTGATTGGCTATCATAGTGATCAGTCACTGTACAGCCCGGCCCCCTTGTTTTTTTCTCTCTCTATCTCTCTATGAATGGAGGAGAGAGATACATTGTATCTCTCTAACTCCTGGCATAGAGGGAAAAAAAAGTTTGTAAAAAAAAAAAAAAAGAGATAAATAAATAAATATTAAAAAATACAGAAAAAATACCTAGATCAAGGTTTGATCTAGTTCAGTGCCAGGGTTAGTGTTTGTGTCAAGGTCAGGGTCAAAGGTCAGGATTTAAAAAAAAAATTGGTGTCAGTTAGTGTGTTTTAGGTTAAAAAAAAGACAAAAACAAAATGTGCACTATTGTTTCTACTATGGGTACAAACAACAAACATACACACATATGGCATCGCTGCAATCATCAAGAGCTGGAGAATTTATTTTGGGTTGTTCTTTGGTGGTAGGTTATGGTAGTAAGAAGAAACACACAGCTAAATAAAAAAAATTATTTTGGGCCAGTTTTCCTTTGATAATAAAAAAAAAAATCAGAAGATATCCATTACCATTTACCACCAAACGAAAGCCCAGTTTGTCCTGAAAAAAAATAAGGTATAATTCACTTGGATGTACAAAGTAGTTGTGATGATATGTACAGTTTTACTAACACATGTCTAAGTTGCAAAATTGTGCTTAGGCATTAAGATTTGTTTTACCCTTAGGCGTGAAGGGGTTAATGT